AGTGGGCAGGGATCCTCAACCCTGCCTGCAGGTCAGAAGCATCTAGAGAGCTTTTAAAACATACTGAGGCCTGGACAGCAAAAGCTTCTGATTTCACTGGTCTGAAAAGGGACCTGAGCATCCACTTATTTTAAAGAAGTCTCTCTAGGTGAGTTCAATGTGCATCCATCAAGAGAACCAATGAGCCAGAGCACTGTCACTTTTACCAAGGAATGGGTAAAATGGACAAAGGTTGCTCAGAAGGATAAGGACATCCTCAATGCTTAACATGGAGCCAAGATGACAGAAAAGATCATTGTCTTGATATAGCTTGACTCCTGTCCTAGCATCTCCATGTACTGTTGGAAGATCCACAATACTGGGTTCATGAGGGAGAGGTAAAAAGAATGTTCATGGATGCACTCTGGCCTCACAGGGCTTCACCCACAGCATCCTAACCACAAGTGACAAAACAATGTGGTTTTATTATGTAGTTGCAAGCAAGGGCTTCAGTTGAAATTCAGTGGTCAAAAAGAAGGAAAAGAAAACTGCTATTTTCAGTGTCAGCCAAGAGGAAGGGATGTCCTCACTCTTCCAGACAGTAAGAGAAAGTTATCTGATTCCTGGGAGAGAGTTAGGAGTTGTGCACACCAGCCATTGTGGTGGAGGATAAATGAAAGATGCTGTCAACTCTGCCAGGAGTGACTTCATGCCATTCTTGGGTATTCTCACCAGGCAGGTGACAAGTGTTCAAAAAAGTAGAAGGGGAAATGGGCCCTTCACATCAGGCCTGTGTGAATCTGAGTATGACTAGAGGAAGGCCTGTACTTTGTATCTATATGAATGCTTGCAGAAAGTGTATTCACAATGTGTGTCCATACATTTTTCTAAGGGAAAGTGTTTCTAATTTTCATCAGCATCCTAAAGATTAAGGACTCCGGTTCTGTGCACTGTCACACTAAACTGAATACTTTTTTGCCACCTACAGCCCCTGCCCCATTAAATATGTTCAAGAGATGAGTACTACATGTGGACCTCAGCAAATTACAGAAGTAGATGACATACATTCCTTGTGTGCAACTTCTGACTGCCTAGAATTCCCCTTAATGGGTATAGCTTCCTCATGTACTGATAACCTGTCACCAGTTTTGTCCTCTTCTCCAGCCCTGGGTCTCTCCCTCTCTGTCCAAGTCCAGGGGTCCTCTTTGCTTCTGCAGTGTGGTGGTGGTGGTGGTGGTGGTGATGTGCCGTGGAGTCAATTCTGACTCATAGCGACCCTGTACAGGGTTTCCAAGGCTGTAAATCTTTATGGGAGCTGAAAGCCTCATCTTTCGCCCACAGAACAGCTGGTAGTTTTGAACTGCTGACCTTGCGGTTTGCAGCCCAATCCATAACCACTACACTACCAGAGCTCCTTAGATCACATTTATATGTCTTTTCTCACCTTGCAGCTCCTACAATAATTAGGTGGGACTATGCAAATAAGGCATATGGAACCCTAACAAAGGGATTGTTCAGTTGTGCTGTATCTTAGGCTTAACAAAGAACCAATTCTAGAACAGATGGGGAATCTGACTACCACCAAGAAGAGATGTGAAGGAAATGCATCCTTTTCTGACCAGGGTACCCTTACTGAGAATTTCCTAGATCCATGAGACAGAGAGAGAAATCTGTAACACTTGAGATGGTACAGGAAGAAGCAGTAGCAGAAAGATGCAACAGTAGAACCAGAAGACTGGTGTGAGATGGCGTGGTAGATTGTGTGGCCTATTGAGCAAGGGACTACAGAAAGCATGCAAATCCACGGAGTGAGAGAGTTGTGTACCTTTGGACAGGAGGATCCCTGATGGAGTAGGGTGCTACTGGGCATGGGGTAGAGCTAGGCTTCACCAACCCATGGAACAAGACAGAGCTGAGCACCCTTGGGCTAAGGCTTACTGGTGGAGTGAGATACTTCTGGGAACTTAGTGGTGGAGCTAAAGAGCTTTGTAACACTTGCCAGAGCAGAGCAGAGGCCAGTCCAAAGGGCCCATAGACCAAGAGCTGAGAGCGAGGCCTGCCTGCAGTCATGGCTCAGAAGCTGTTTGACAAGAGAACTATATCCTAAGTCATTCCTGATTCTGAAAAGCAATATGTTATTTCCTTAATAAACTGCATAACTGTGAATATGGTCTGAGTTCTTTGTGGTCATTGCAACCAATTATTAAACCCAGCAGAAACGGAGATAGTGCCATCGGAGAAGTGGTTGTGGTCACAATTGGTAAAAGGGTTGGAGGGTAAACGTATGACTACCTCATAGGAATCAGCCTTGGGCTGATACAGATGGTGATTCTCTTTCTTTTTCTAGAAGTTAAAGGACCTCTTAACGCCACCACACCATTTTAACAACTTCCTTCCTTTGCCCAAATGCTCCCTGATCTAAATCCATCTTCTCTGTCTCTACCCAGGTTGCCCTGCCTTTGAACACCAACCTTTAGTAACCACAATGTCAGTCTTGCAAGATCCTCCCCAGCCTGGACTCCTAGTTACCATGCTGACTTGTTATCCTCAGGATTCTAGGCTGGTCTTCCAAGGTGGTGGGTAAAGGGGCAGGGCTCAGGTTGACTTTATCTTCCTGGGAGCAGAGCCCAGGTCTTGGGTATTAACCAATAGATGCTTGGGAAAGTTCATGATTGGGATACATTGTTTTTGAGGAAACTGATGCTTCTTATTGATGCCTACTACAACAAAAATAAGATAAAAACTATACAACTGCTTTTCACTGTGGGAGAAAGATACATCCCAACTATTTTTATTTATAATAGCTTAGGATGTATGCATTTCCATGTAGTGCAGGAAGGGGATATAGGTTAGTTTTCTTTTATTTAGAAACTGAACTCTATTCAGGTATGTCTAGTCTTGAAAGTCTACTGATCCTGTGGCAGGCTGTCTGCTTTCAGTTGAGGGGGAAACATCTTTAGAGGAGAATGTTGGCCTAGACCTGGAAGCCAGGGAGGAAAGAGGAGCCTAAGCAGTCAGAGGCCTTCAGCATCCTTCCTGATTAACTGCATGCTGTAGGCAGCTCAGTTTACTTCTCTGGGCTTCCTCTTCTCTTCCCCAAGGTGGGTAGAACCTTTCTTTCTTTTACTTTCTTTAAGCAGGAGCCCCCTTCTTTTTATTCCAAATGAAACATAAGTGAAGAGCAGGTGAAAGAAGAGCTGCTTCAAACTGCCTCTGAGCTATCTGAAAAGAACACTGGAGTTCCCAGAGCATTCTGAGATCTATGATTCTGTAAAAATCAGGCAGGGCTGCAAGCACCCTTATGCAACTCTCTCAGCCCTGGAGGGAGGGTACAAAGTAAGAGTACCATCTGCATGGGGGATGGTGGCATCCAAGCAGCATTCAGGTTTTGAGTTGATTTCAACCCTATAGGACAGAGTAGAACTTCTTAATGCTTCCTAGACTATAAATCTTTATTGCAATAGACAGCTCACCTTTCATCCATGGCTACATTTGAACCAAGGACCTTCTTGTTAATAGCCAAGTGTTTAACCTATGACACCACCAAGGCTCCTTATGGAGGTGCCTTCAAAAGCAGGTGGAGGAAACATTTCATTGTGAACTTCTGTAGTGGTTGGCGTTCTCTTAGATTCAAAAACACACAAACAATAAAACCCAACTCTATCAAAGTGAGGTTATTTCAAGTCTACCTTTCAAGATTGTTAGTGAGAATTAAATGAATTGACTCAGTTATACTTCAATTTCAAAAAAGGCAGTTTTGAAACTCGTGGTCTCCCAAGTTTGAAAATACTAAGCCATTTGTCCTGTGGACAGCTGACTGAACTCTAGAACACCGCAGGAATCTCACAAGACTACAAATTACTAGGTGGTGCTGGATCTCTAAAAAAACAGAAACGAAACAAAAGCATTGCACTGTTCTGAGATGCACATCTGATATGGACTAATCACATCGTTTTTGATATTATTTTCCTGGAGGCAGAACTGTTCTACAGTTAAACAGCACTTATGTTTCCCCTCCTTTGTTGTATCTATCTGTGTATAAACAAACGACACACATTATTTTCTCTCTCACTGTAGCTTCTGAAGACAAGGCCTTTTTGTGGAGGATTATTGCAAGGCCAGTTGACCTTACAAAAGGAGTCATTTAATGCCCACTTTTCCCAACTTTCCTAGGATTGAAACTTCTAACCTCAGATGCGGGGTTTTGTGGGGGTTTTCTGGTGTGTGTTCTAGATTGCTTTCCTTTCCCCTCTCCCAATTAATCTTCAAATGATCTCTACTTTCCTGGAATCCCTCCCCCTTCTTTTTCAATCTGACCTTGAAAATAGAACGCTCTAGTTTTCTTTTTACATACATAGCCCAAACTATTTTGAAATCGAAGCCCTCTGACCTTTTTACAACTCTCCTCTTGTCTGACACACCAACTGAAAGAAAGCAGGAGGAGGGAAAGGGCCTGGGGTGTTGAGGATAGGTTGGGGGAGGAGGGAGATACTATATATATACCGCATTAGTTCAGAAATTCAGAAAATGTTTTGCAACCACTCCCCCAGGCACGATCCCCGCTCTTGCCTCCCAGCACATCAATAAAAAAAGATGTGAACGAATGAAATTGGAGCCAGGGAGGGACACCTAAGGCGGTCATCATTATTTGCCCAGGGAAGCCCATAGATTACCATCCCACATTCTCCGCTCCAACAAGCCAAGTTTAGGATCATCTCCTCTCCAGCTCCCACCCCCAGAGGTAGCCGGTTAAACTCGTAGCCGCACCTCCCAGTAACGGCTTGTGCGAGAGACCAACGGAAGGACTGACACAGCCTCTGTACGTCGGCGTGGCAGCGCTGCGCACCCTAAGAACCATGTATGCTCTTAAAAAATACAATGAGCGCACAGGCCTGGAATTACTTAACTTGTGAAATGAATCTAACACACCCAAATAGAGTCCATCTCTGCGTTCAACAAAAAGAAAGGAGAGGGACATCCACACACACACACAAAAAAGCAAAAAACTGAATGCACATTACCATCCTGTCCAGAGCTTTCCAGATACTCCGCCAGGTCACAGCCAAACGCACTGGCGGCTCCCTTTCGTTTCAGCTTCTGCTTGGCACCCTTGTTCTTCATGAGTTAGTCCCAAAGAGGTTGCCCCTCCGTCTCCCCTCCTCTCTGCTTGGCACCGCGCGAAAGGTGGTCTTTTGGGTTAGCTCACTGGCTGCTGCGCGGCTCTGGGGGGCCGCATGGGCGTCCACAAGAACTCCGGGCGCGGGTAATGCACATGAACTCCGCGGGGCGCTGCGCCCAGAGCCGACGGCTAAGCGAGCGGAGGCTGAAACCCACCCAGCGCTTGTCCAGGGCCACGGTGGGGAGGCCGTGCAGAGCAGGCAGTTGTGGTCCGGCGAGCTTGGGAGTGTCACTTCCTCACTTGGAGTCCCAGGGACTTTCGCAGTCTCCTGCCGTGTCCTCGGGTGCTTTTCCTCTACTTCTGTGGGAGGGGAGAGCCCTCCTTTCCGCCTTCCTAAATGCTCGGAAGAGGACGAGCGGCGAGGGGCGAAGAGCCAGCCCAGGGGCCGCTGTGGGTCCTCTTCCCCGCTCCCGATGTCTTTCCTTCAGACGGCCGTGGTAAAATGAAAAGCAAGCATCCTGTCTCTCTTGCCCGCCCTCACGCCTTCCTTTTTTTCCTGTCTTACAAATCCTAGGGTCATCTAGCTCAGGAAACGCTGGAAGGAAGTTAGCTAGGGAGGGGGGCGGAGGGTGGAAATTTTTTTGGCAACTCTCTGCTGGTGTGTGTATGGAGCCGAAGGAAGTAGGTGGGAGGATTGAAGAGGACGAGGTGGGGGAGAGAATGCGCTCTTCTGAGGCCGTTGTTTGGCTCTAGAGATAACTCCTGGTCGCGGGGAGGAAATCGCCGCACTCCTAGGAGGACCCTCCGCCAGAGTCACCGGCTTCCTGCCCCACCAGCGCTGCACTTTGAAGACCGCGGGAGGAGCTGCAAGCTTGGAGGAGCTAGATGTGACTTAACAAAAGTTCTGCCTTGTTTTTGTTCTTATTGTCATCATCACTTTCTAATTTGGTGCCCGCCTTTCTCCAACACACACACTTATAGAGTAATGACAGAAACAAAGACGGGGATTACAGAGCAGAAACCTGACAAGGAGCGTTGCTCCGTGGCCACGCCCAGCCGTTCTTCGGGGCATCTGTGTACCCCCAACCGCAGCTCACTCTCCTCCCACGCTGAGGCAAGAATACCCTTGGGCAACGAGGCTGGAGCTTCCTAACCACTGCCCTGGAAATCAGATTTCTGGCTACAGATTCAAGTTCACACACTCAAACTATATGGCAAAGTTTGCTCAATGGAATGGATTCAAAGACATCCCTGAGATTCTAGCATAATATAGAGAATGTAATCTCCCTGGTTGCTTCATAAACTGTCTCAAGTTATTTCAGCAGGGCCTGGTTTTTGCTTCTCCAGTTAGATTTGAAATTCCTTGACTCTGTGTACTCAGCACACAGTAAGCACTCAAATTCTTGTGAGTTAACTATTTGGGGGTTAGATTAATTTGTATAAATTCAAATAAGTGAATAGGTTTGAAGGGTAGGGACGTTTATATAATTCAGATTGTTGGCAAAAACTTTATTTATACTATTTTAGCTATGGAATCCCTTTATAGTCACTTGTCACCCAATGTATCACCATGATAGTTTCTGAACTTTGGCCCTTGCACTTTTCTCTATCTTAGAGGTCATAACTTGGTAGCCTGCATGCTCAATCTGGCCCACAGATGTGTTTGGTTTGGCATATTGTTGTTGTTGTTAAGTGCCGTCGAGTCTGTTCCAACCCATAGCGACCCTGTATAGGGTTTCCAAGCAGTGACTGGTGAGCTTGAACCACCAACCTTACAGTTCAAACGGCTTTGCAGTCTAGCACATTAACTCACAGCGCCACACCAGGACTCCGGTTTGGCATATACCATACTTAAAACTTTAAAAAAAAAAAAAATTAGTAACTACCATTAAAGGGTTAAGAGATTTCACACAAGAAATCTAGATTTCTGACTTTCCTTGACAAAATGGAAAATCTGGTAACACTACAGGTGCATTTCCACACAGCAAGAATCCGTCTAGCCCTGTGGTGGCTACTCCCTTTGAGGTACCCCTTATACAGGGGTGAGCATTCCACTGTCGCTGCCTGTCCCTACTACTGCCATCTCCCCTTTGCATCTGCCTGGCCCCCGGAAGCCATTCAGTTTGTGGCTCAAGCTCTACAGTGTCTCTCCTTCCTTATATTTTCAATCTGTCTGTCAGTGACACCAGTCATCCAGTCATTGTGGCAAGACACTTGAGGTAACCACTGACTCATTTCTCTCCTCCCACCCCCATCTCTAGTCTAGTCCTGCCTAGACTGATGTGTCCTTCAAAATGCCTCTCATTTTGTCAGTTTCTTCCTTTCCAGGATCACTCAGAGAAAGTCATCCCACCCCTTCATTATTAGAATAACTCCTATGTAGCACTTGCTGAGTCCGGTCCCTTCCCACTTCATCTGTCTTGTGCCTGGTGGACAATTCTTTCTAAAGCTTGACTGTTGTTTTATGCCTCCTTTGCTCAAAACCCATCAATGACTCCTTGTTTCCTATCACCAGGGCAGAAATTTTTGAGCATTTTGTTAACTGCTTGAAGAATATTTGGTAGGATATGTAGTATAATGGATTGCTTTCCCCTTTGTTTATAGTCCTCCATCTGGAGACTATAATTATTACTGTTATCATTTGTGTAGGGGTTTACTCTAGCAAGGGGCTTCATATTTATTATTTCATCTAACCTACAATGGATTTCATCATGTTGTTAACAAAGGCAGAAGGGGTACTTGTTTCCTGTGTCCAGGCTCCCAGGGTACAAATTATGGTTAAATTGCCAAGCCCTGTGAATTACCCTTTCAAATTACTAAAATTTTCTGCTTAACTTCTCATTTTGAAATAATTTCAGTTTATAAAAATTTCACAAAGCAGTACAAAACAATAAGAATTACTGTATGCAAGTCACCCAGTTTCCTCAAATGTTAATATATAAATAGAGTAAAAATATTAAAACTAGGAAATCTATATTGATACAATAATGTTAACCAATCAACACAAAAAAACAAAACAAAACAAACCCATTGGCATCACATTGATTCTGACTCACAGCCACCTTTTAGGACAGAGTAGAACTACCCCACAGGACTTCTGTGGCTGTAAATCTTCACATAGATTGTTAAATCTTTCTCTAACAGTGTAAGAAACTCTGGTAGCGTAGTGGTTATGAATCAGGCTGCTAACCTCAAGGTCGGCAGTTTGAAACTACAATCAGTTCCATGGGAGAATGATGAGGTTTTCTGCTCCCATAAAGATTTACAGCCTCAGAAACCCTGTGCAGGGTCACTATGAGTTGGAATTGACTCCACGGTACTCAACAACAACAACTCACAGTGTGAATGATGAGTTGGAACCTCAGTCTTTTATAGTTCTTGGACAAGCACTTAACCATGGTAGCTCTAATCAAAAGATCTTATTCAAAAGTTAGCTTTGGATTATGTTGTTGTTAAGTGCCCTTGAGTCAGTTGTTCCAACTCATAGTGGCCCTGTATAGGGTTTCCAAGGAGCAGCTGGTGAGTTTGAACCACTGACCTATTGGTTCAAAACCAATCTTGTGGCCCGGTGCTTATTCTAGAGTGCCACATTTTAAAAAATTAAATATGGCTTTTCCTCAAAGAAGCCCATCAAGTAAGTATGAGAAAAGTATTTTTCAAATAATTCTCAAAACACTTTGTACAAGATTCCCTTAATCATCATTTGTACTCATAGTGTTGGGGCTTTGTCAGACTTCCTTGTCTAACTTCACAAGGGAAAGAGAGAATCAAGATTAACATCAGCCCAAGGTTGATGATTCCTGTGAGGAGAAAGTCAGACATACCTCTACTCTCCCACAGAACTCTACTTCTCTGCTGGGTTCAATAATTTGTTGCAATGGCCACATAGAACACACAGGTTACAATTCAGGATGAGAATCAGTAGGCAACAACTTGGGATCAGTAAGTAAGCAAAACCTCCTTTCTTCATTACAGGACAGCTCTCTCAGTTCCTCTCAGCCATGCAGGATTCTTCTCAGCCCCCTGAGGACAGGCTCCTCTTGGCTTCCTCAGAACAGATCTCATCTCTTGGCTGTCAGCCCCCACTCGCGTCTGGCCTCTGTCTTTCCTAGTTAAGTGTTACAAAACTCTTTAGTTCTGCCAAGTACCCAGAAGCACCTCACTCTGCCAGGAAGCCTCCTGCCTGAAGGCACTCGGCTCTCTTGCTCTGTGGATCAACACATTCACTGTAGTCACCTCACTACATGTTCTGGGAAGACCACCATATGGTTGCTTGCTAGAATCCTGGTTCTGCTGCTGCCATTTCTCTGCCACTGCTACTTGCTCTTTAGAGCCATCTTCAGTATTATCTTATTTGCCTAGTCTCACCCAGTCATTTTATGGGAAACAAGGTCATACATAGATAAAAGGACCTTACTAAGTAATTCACTGCATAAAACAGGTAGACCAGAAAGACTTGTGATCTTAACACAGCCCTAAGAACTCTATGCTTTGCTTAGAATTTCTCAAAGGAACTTAACAATCACACAATTTTCAACCTTAAAACAGCCTAAGAGAACTTTTAATCTCTGCTTCATAAATTGGGATCAAGTTGTTAAGGATTCAGATTAAGGTAATACTAAGGTATAGTGTCCATTATGCCTCCACTAACTGAACACATCTTATCTGAAATGTACACATGGGCGGGGCTTTTGGGTCTTGATTTGATAACTCAATCATTCACACCCAATGGTGGCATACTAGAAGTAGTCATTCATCTCTGCCAAGAAATTTGGAAGACAGCTTTCCTAGTCAACCAACTCGTAGAGATCCATATTTGTGCCCATTTCAAAGAAAGGTAGTCCAACAAAATACAGGAATTATTGTACATTATCATTAATATCACACACAAGTAAATTTTTGCTGATGATAATTTTAAAATGTTTACATCGACAAGGAACTTCCAGACATCCAGGCTCGATTTATTTAGAATAGGTTGTGAAATGAGGGTTATCATTGCTGA